CCAAGGCGGTCAGGCATCTTGCCTCTTGGACCATCTCCCCTACAGTGGCCAGCATGGAGACTGGCACACAGGAAGCGCTCAATGCTTGAATGTCATCGAACATATAGAGCAGCATATCAGCAATGCACATAAGAATAAAATCCATTCACTGCTAGATTCATTCAGCAAATATGGCATTTGGGAGGACAAATAATCCGGGAGTGTAGAAGAAAGGAGAATGGTTAGGTCAGGAGCGTCTTCCCAGAAAGAGTTTGAATCACATTTGGAAAGTGGGCTAGGCCATGAGTGGTGGAGAACCTGAGGGCCAAGACCAAAGTGGGAGGGGAAGGACAGAGAGTTCTGTCTGCAGAGATTAATAAACAGAAACATGGAGACACAGACATAGACAATTTATGGGAAGAGAGGGAGTGCAATGACAGCCAAATTAGCCTTTTCCCACCCAGCATTAGCGTGCACACAAAGATGAGCGTGCAAGTCACCTTGGGTACACACTGAACTCTAAACCCTCGCCTAACCCTTCTGTGCCCTCCTCACTCTGACCTCCCACACGCCCCTTCCCAATGCCTCACCAGGCCACCATTATTGCTTGGGCAGTCTTTGTTTCTCGTCCCTCTCGCCGACTCAGGTTCCTTGCTGCACTCACCACTTCTTCCTTGGTTCGGAAATCTCCCAGGGACCACTCATGTACAGGGCTCTCGCCATACTGTACCAGTCCCACCTGAGAATAAAGTGTGCAATCAACTGAAATGTGTGCTTGGGGGTGGGGTAGGAGAAGAAAGCATGTGAGGGAGGGGAGATGAGCACCTGGAGGCAACGGAAAACACTACCTACACTTATTTCCTCTCTCTCTGTCTCTTCCCCTCCATGCCCATCCATGTTGCCTTCTCTTACCTGTATCTGCTCCGGGTCAATAAACAGCCTGCCTACTAGTCTTCGTAGGAAAGTCTGAACTTCAGACCAGGGGTAGATGCTGTTGGAGCCATCCAAGACGATGACAACATCCATGTATGTGGGGCAGCCTAGGAGAAGGGGCGTGGTGATGGAGAACAGAGAGGTACAAGGTTATGGGGGCATGGGGCCAACAAGAGAAGGAGACAGCAACTAGGAAGATATTGGAGGCTGAAGGTGTTTGAGGAGAGGAGAATATAAGGAAAGGCATTTGGGTGAACTCTTTAAACTAAAGGAGGGGGAGGTATAAAAATAGACGACGCATTGGAGAATGGTGAGGTAAGTGCTACGGCCAAGGGTGGGGAGGGATATAGTGAGAGCTGAGTTCTTGAAGTTGGTTTGATCAGTTCATGGAGTCGATGCCCTGGCAGAGTCTGAATTCGAATCTGTTAGGAAACATGGAGCTTGTGCAGGTACATTAGGTAGCAATGAGGACAGCCATGCAGGCCCCCTGTCAAGCATCATACGCTGTTGCCCCATCTTTTTCTCCCCCCCACCCCCCCCTCCCCGTTCTGAGGACTGAGTCCTCAGGCCCTTCTTCTGGCTCACGTTGTGCAGTGGGTGCCAGGCTTCCCTGGGGCCGGAAAGAAGCATCTACACGGGCACATATCCCAGAACTGAAGACAGAGGAGCCGCAAGCACGAGACCAGAGAGGGGCACAGGCCTGGGGATGGATGGGGGAAATAGTTACTCCCAGGCTTGGGACGGCACCCTCCACTAGAACAGGCTCCTAGTAGGAGGAGGCATTGTGACCGCTCCCCGAGATGCCACTCCGTGCTTTCTAGGGTTTTTAACTTCTTGACCCCTCTACACAGCCCAGTTTCCCTTACCATACTGCTCTATCCTTTGCCACAAACCTTCAAAGACCCTGTCACCCTGCCACGTTTTCCTTAGCTCACCATGAATCCTCCATCACCATCTGTCTCTAATAGAGACATCCCCAAGTGCATGTTCACAGCAGGACGAGATGAATTTCCCAGTGGGTAGTCACCTGGTTGGAGGGGGTGAAAGAGAATGAGATCATGGGGTCACAGGTGAGGTCCTTGAGTTCAAGGCGATTTTGGAAGAGGATGAGATCAGGATCAAGTCAGGGACGGGGAGTATGTGGGGCATGGGGGTGAATAAAGTGAGGTATAAGGGATCAAAGCTACTAGCGTATCAAGGTTAGGGGTTAGGAGTGGAAGATTGAGGCATCTTCTTACCCAAGTGGCCCTTGGAGCATGGCGCATTGTGGGAGCCCCCTACAGGGCAGCGGTAAACGTCTCCCCTTCTGTCGCCTGAAGGCCCATCCCAGGGGGCACCCACCAGCATCCTGGGAGGAGGACATGGATATAAGCGTAGTGTGAACATGACCTTTGCGATAGGCCAGAGGGAAAGTGCATGGGGGTGGGAAATCTAGAGGTCTGGCCTTTTCCAAAAGACCAAAGATGCCTCCGTCTCTTCCAAAAGATTAGTTTAGATTCCCGTCTACCTCGCCTCCCCTCCAGCGGCTCTATCACAGCCCCAGCCCCACAGCCCTTCTGGTTGCCTCCTCACCATCGCTGTCCACCCCCAACATGTTGTAAGACACTGTATCCAAATTCAGCCTCGGGTGGCCCTGGGAATAGGCGTGGGCGATGCACGTCCAGGTTAAAGGGAGAGCAGAGACCTAGGGAGCCAGGACCGTAGGTTAGCAGGAAGCAGAGAGGCTAATGGATGCCCAGACAGGCACAACCCAGAGAGAAGCCGTGCAGGGAATGCTTTGATGTCAGTCTATCTCCCAGCTTATTACTCATAAGCTGTCCTGGCCTCTGTCAATGTCATGTAGTCAGAGCTCCAAGCAACGATGACCTCCTTTCTGTGTTTGGGTCCAGCTGTCTAACCTGGGGCTCTCTGCCACGCTAGTGCACAGCTGTATTTCCATTCCCATCCCTGAAATCTCATTTACAGGCATGTCTGGAAGGGTCAAGTTCCTCTTTTCCACATCATTCCTCCTACGCATCCTCCTCCCCAAGCCGTGAGGGTCAAAAGAGGGAGAGGACATTTCTGCAGCCCTACAGCAGTTGCTTCTAAATTCTCCCCAAATCCAGGAGCATAGGGAGCACAAGAGGTGACCAGGGAGCACTCCATGCCTGGGGCTCTCCTTCTCTTTCCATCGCTTCTTGACTCCCAGTGCCATTGTTACACACTCACTTTCATTCTCAATGTCTAGGTCTCTGGTTGATTCCAGCTCTGGAAGCCTCAGTGGTAATTAACTGGGTGGGGCCACTCGGCTGCCCACACACAGGGTTCACCATCCATCCTTACCAAGGGTCTCTTCACCCCAAAGTTTCCCACTCCTTTCGAAATCATCCACCCTCCCAACTGCCCCCTACCTACCCGAATCTCTTCCTTAACTCTTGACCCACTCTACAGACCCCCCACAATCATGTCCTGGCTGATTTTTCCCTCCCCACCTCGATCCCTTTAAAATCAGAGCTGGTATTTTAGGAAACGAAGATTATAGGGCACTGGTGAGAAAAAATTCCAGGCCTCTGGTCCCTCCCAAGGCTCTTTCCCTGTGTGTTGCTCCTTCCTTCTCAGCGACCTCCTCTCATGCCACCCCAGAACCACCACCACCGATGGCTATAGCTCTGTCTCCAACCATGCTCATTTTCAGAAAGGTGTTTTGTATGTGAGCCTTTTTGCATCTAGGAAACAGGCAGAGCTGTATGACCAGGAACTGTAGCTCATTGGTTAAACCCAGAATTCTGACCACACAGTCGGTTATGCCTCAGGCCCCAGAGACCACCAAGGGTAGGGAGAAGTCGGGAAGGGGGTAGGGGGTAATAGGAATGACTGGCCACGTGAAAGGTCACATCAAGTTTCTTCTTGGTCCCCTCACTTCTCCAGGGCTTAGGACAAAGGTTTTAGATAACTGGGGACAAATCTTACAAGAGGCTCTCCCAGTCTGAGTATTGAAGCAGTCCTATGGTGTGGGCATAAGACTGCAAACATGCAAACACACACACACATACACACACACACACACACACACACACACACACAGACGTAGAATCAGTGTTAACCTCTCACCCTAACTCCCGAAAAATTTTAACCTTAAAGGTCCCAATGCCAAACAATCCATGCATCTTCCATTCCCACCAACCAAGAAGTTAACCTCCCTCACCTGTCAGGAACATCAGGGGCAAGAACAGGTGAGCGATGAGGGGGCGCTCCATGCCTGGCTGTTCTCTGTCCCTGTGAAAAGTCCTCTGTGCCTCTGTCACTCTCTCCTTTTCTGTTTTCTTTACTTTCCCTCCCATCCTGCCCCCTCCCACTGGCAGCTAAAAATAAAGTTGGAAGGAATGGGAGGAGTGATGGTGGGGATCTGTGGGGAGCCCCAGACCGAGCAAAGGAGGACTGAGGGATCTTAGTCTAGTTCTCTGCCTTGGTGCTGCCCCCTGGAGGCGTCATCTCAAAATCCAAAGAGAACACAATTGTTGACTACTTCTTGCTGTTTCTTTTTTTTTCTATCCTTTATTGTTGCCAGGTAATCTTGCTCTCTTTGGGTTTGGAATAGAAAGCAGAAGTGGGGGGACAGCTACTTTTTACTTCCTAATCTTATTTATGTCAACCTGGCATATGGAAAACGAAAGAGCTGATAAGTGATATCATTTCCCCATCCATCCGGGAGAGTCCCAATATGTGATGACACAGACAGTCCAGACTCAGCCTTACCAGCCCCACTCCACGTAGCTCTGTCTGTGACTCTTCGCCTATGCTGCCTTGTGGCGTTAGTGTTTAAAAGGACTATAAACTATGAACTGGTATGGGGTGTTCTTTGTGGAATCAGCATAGTTACTTTAACATTAGACGCCCCCACCTTCTCAAGGAGGCTATAAACTTCAGAAGTTGGGACCATGGAGTTTCTTAGTTTTCTGTAGCTCTACCGCCCAGCATGATGCTCTGCATAGTTTAGAAGCTCAATAAAAATCTGTGGGTGATGATGCCAGTTGCTATTTCCATGGAAAACCTAAATAAACAGGAATAGGGGCCTCAGGTGACCAGAACACAGACAACCAGACCAAACATCAATAAGCAAACTGATTTTTAATTTGCTGACCTAGAAAGCTCGCTCTCTGCCATGGGCCCAGGTCCCAGCTATTTACACAGAATCATTGTACAATATTTACAGCAAGATGCTAGACACAGCATCACTCTAGATGGGCAAAGAAGGGGTGAGAACAGGCTAGGAACAAAGCCCTGAAATGAAAGTGTACGCAGAAATCTGCGGGTGTGAGTAGTGGGAAGCGTACGGGCCGAGTCACGAGGGAGGTTGGTGAGGTAGGCATCAGGGAGGAAGAGGCAGCATCAAACCAGTTCTTGTGCATGAGGGAAGAATCCACTGGGACATAAAGTCTTTAAATTACGATTTGGAGTTTAAAGGGGGTAAAATCTGCCATAAGCCACCTTTGTGAGGAAAAAGAAGGCAATTAGAATTTTACAGACCACACCTTCTACCTCCCCTACCAAAAAGTAATTCTGCTGCTGACCGAATTTCTAGGACTGAGATGGGGGACTGAGAAGGCAAAAAAAGAGATGCAGAGACAGGCTCTTAAACAGACTCATGAGAGACCAAGAGTCAAGGGAGACACAGACAGTACAAAGAAGGAGGAAAAGAACAAAAGCTCCAGCAGGTCTGAACATTAGAATCATCCGGTTGATTACACAAGTCACCTCGCCTCGCCTCATTCTCCCCAGAGCGCCTTCTTCTACCCCAAGCTCTCTGGATTTTAACTTTAACCAAGGAGCAAACTTAGAACGAGGCTGGTACGTTGGGGACAATCTAAGGCTCCATCTTACCAATTCAGGTCCCCTCCTTATCCTGTACCAGAGTATCAGGGCTTGAGTCGTAGCCAAGGGCAGATTAGGGTGAGAATAGACAGGATGGAGGACACGAGGCCACAAAGCCCCACAATCCCAGGGCCACAGCGCCACAGGCCTAGCTTGTCCAGTGGAATGAAGAGATCGCAGGCGTTTCTGACCACATCCAACAGAAGCGGGGGATGACTTCGAAGGACCCGAGCCAGGAGCAGGACTCGGAGCTGAAGCTTCAGGACCAGTCGGGGCAGGCTTCCTGCTGGCGTCTCTGGACCCCCAGGCCCCCCCATTTCAATTCCTCCTGGGACCCCTCCTCCAGAGCCCTTCTGTCGCCGGCTGCAAGCTGAAGACTCTTGTTCCATCAGCAGGCGAATCTCATAAACATCACGGCTCAAGTTCATGATGAGGGAAAACAGATAGTACCTGAGATACACAGGAAGAAGGGTCAGTAAGGGCACCTATACCCACTTAGCATATCCAACAGAACACTCAATTTTTTTCCCCCATAATGCAAAGGGGTTACACATTAGAACACCAGAAATGAATGCTAGCACCCACCATTAGAAATGTCTCCCCGCCTTTCTATAACTAACATGTGCTTAGGTGTACCTTAAGATCCTGGCTTCAAATTCATGAGCATCATCCAATCTTCCAAGATCAACCTCAAATTTCATTTTTCCACTCGGCAACCCATTAATTAGCACACACACATTCACCCTGAACTACAGTAATAAAAATTTATTTTGAAAAAACAAGCTTCACTTGTCTCAGAGAGTTAGACATATTACAATTTGAATCCAATCCTTTTGTTTAAAAACAAAAAGAGACCCAGAGGCAGTAAGCAGCTTGTCAAATGTGTTATTATAAATTCCTGAAGAACAGTCTACGATTTTTACTTTGAATCCACCCCACAGCAGTGATCTGCACTCAATATAATTGTCCTACCTCCAAAACACATCCCGAATTCAAGCATCTCTCTCTATTACACTCCACCACCACAGTCTAAGCCACCATCATCTCTTGCTTGAACTACTATTGTAAAACTTTGGTCTTTTAACTGGTCTCTCCATGACCACTCATGCCCCCTGCCTCCAACAATCTAATTTCATGTAGTATCTGGCATGAACATAAATCATATCATCACTCCCCTTCTTTTTTTTTTTTTTAAAGATTTTTATTGGGGAATTGGAGGGATGGGAACAGCGCTGGGGAATTGGGGGAAGGGGAACAGACAAGTTGCTGTCCTTTTGTTCTTCAGTCTAGTTGTGGAGGACGTTGATTCACTGGCCCAAGTTGGAACCATCATTGCGCTCTTCCCGGGCAAGGCAGATCAGCCGCCGGCTTCTGGATGGCCACTCACGGTGGCTGCTGGCAGCTCATGCTGGCTGCCGGCTACACACGGTAGCCCATGGCAACCCACTGCAGCAGGGACTGCAGCCTATGCCGTCCCCGGCGACTCATGGCAGCCCAGCTCCAGGTTGAGCTGATGTTTAGCATCTCTTAGCTGTAGAGGGCAGTGTCATTGGCCCGCATATGCGGGATCTGAACCGGGGCCCTCTGGCGTCCCAAGCCAGCTCTTAACCATCGTGCCACTCGGTTTCTTAAAGCTCTCCATGGTTTCCTTCCCGTCACATTTAGAATAAAATCTAGATACCGAAGACAGGCTTAGAGAACTCAACATCTGACCCTGTCTCTCTTAACTCTACCTTATACCACTCTCTCCCTCAACCACTGTGTTTTGATCCCATCAAGCTTGCTCCAGCTTTAGGAGCTTTACACTACCGAGTGCCTCTAGTCTCTGTCCAAAAATCTTCACATGGCTGGCTCTTTCTTGCTCTTTGGGTCTGAGCTTAAATGTCACCTTTTCAGAGAGGCCTTCTCTAATCCCCCATTCTCAAGTAATGAGCCATTTACTCTCTTTTTTTTAGCTGAGCCATCGTGCCACCTGCTGGCAGCTCAGCAGCAGCTCAGCTCCGGCCAGGCATCGAACCGCTGTTGCTCAGAGCTCACACTCTTGAGCGAGCTCTTAACCAACTGAGCCACTCGGCCAGCCCGCCATTTACTCTCTACCACATGAACCTATTTTAATTTCCTGCATAGCACTTACCACTACCTGCTATTTTTCTTATTTAAAGATCTTTGTCTCCTCTCATTACGATATAAGCACCATAGGAGCAAGGACCTTGTTTGTTTTTACCACTGCATCTCTGTGTCTACACCAGTGCCTGCACATAGTAAGAGCTTGATAATTGAATGAAATGAATAAACATGGCACATAAACTCTTCTAGGTAGTTGCTCTCCCATATACTCCAGCCATGCCTCCATCCTCAGCCCTCAAACATCATAAGCCATGTTATAGCTGTAAATCACAGAGAAAGATAAAGAGAAAAGCAACAGATGAAGGGAGAGGGAACGATGCTAATATAATCTAAAACAAAAAACAAATACAGATGATATGTATACAGACAATTTTATTCCCAAATCACGTTTCTCTCCACACTCACTACCAGCCAGCTCCTTACTCCAAGCCAACATCATCTCTTGGCCATATTAGGGCATTTCCTCCGGCCCTATTGCAATCCATTTTTCACACCGCAGCAAGAGAGATCTTTAAACACAATTTCAATTATGTCACATCCCTGCTCAGAGCCCATTGTACTTAGGATAAAAGTTTTAAAAAACTAAACAAAAAAACCTTACTATTGACTAAAAGGCCTTGCCTGAGTGATCTGGCCCCTGCCTATCTCTCCAGTTTGAACATTATGTTCTTTACTCAGTACTGTCCACAACACTGGCTTTCTTTCTGTGTCTCTGATTCCTCAAAGTCTTTCTTGGTTCAAAGCCTTAGAACAAGCTAATTTCTGTTTGGAAAGGTCTTCTCTGCTACTGTTCGATTTGTCTACTTCCTACTTAAACTTCAGGTCTGAACTAAAATGTTACTGTCTCAAAGAGTTCTTCCCTGATCTTTCAATCTAAATTAGCTTCTCTTGTTATATACCTCATAACACCCTGTACTTTTCTACAAATATTTGGATGGGTGGTTATTTTTTTTAAATATATGACTCCCCCACTAGACTAGAAGCTTCCCGAGAGCAGAACCATATCTGTTTGGCCCTTTGTTTTACTCCCTGGACCACAGTAAGCACTTACTAAATATTTTTAGAATGACTGCATGATCAGGCAGTGAGGGCATACCCTATGGTACAGATAGAAGCAGAATTAAAGCAGTATCATATCTTATCTTGCCCAATCTTAGTCATTCATTATGAAAGAGCATTTGTCTTCCATCTGTCCCCATTTCTTATTCTCTGATAGTTTAAGATATAAATGAATGCCTGACCACTGTGCTGTACACCTGAATCTGAAGCTGAATAATATTGTATGTGAACTATAATTTAATGTATACACATAGCCACGGGATATGGAGTACAGCATAGGGAATAGAGTCAATGGAATTGTAAAGCTAAATATGATCTCAGAGGGGCTATCAATTTGTGAGGGGTGAAATGTCTATTACATTGTTTTGTACACCTGAAACTAATAAAAAAATAGTAAACAACAACAAAAGATATAAATGAAGATTGGAAGCCAAGTGATTGATTAAGACATGTATATTCTGGGAAGACCCTGAAAGACTTTTCTCTCATAAAAGGCAAGCTGCACAGTGTGAAGAATACAAAAAGTCTTGTAGGATAAAAGAATATCAAACCTGAATGAACGCTGGGACCACTTCTCCTGATCCACACGGGGAACTAGTCCAGACTTTCCAGCCCACAGGACATTGTCACAGGCGAAGTACAAGGCTCGATTGAGGTGACTAACAGTGATGCAGAATCTTAGGACAACATCTGACAGGTGCACAGCTCGTTTGGCTGACTCAAGGGCATCTGCTGAGTTCCCCAGGCGTAGAACTTGTGGGGATTAGCAAGAAAAAAGCAAGGATTTGGAAACAGAGAGGAAAACAGAGAGCAAGACACAGAGAAAGAGAAAAAGCAAAAGGGTGAACACTGAGCAAGTGATACAAACAATAATAACAATCTTTAAAAAGAGCAGAAACAGTTCATCCTTTACTTCAAATTTTAAGGAATTTGTGTCCCGGTTTAGTTTTCCCAAACTTGCCCTATTCTCTCCAATCCCTCATTACCCCCCTTGTTCCTGTCCTTTTATCGCAATTGGGAGGCATGTGTAGAGAATAAGTGCAGAGCCCAATGAGAGAGAAATGGCAGAGAAGGTTAAAACCAGGAAGGAGGGTCTAAGAGAGAATAGCTGGGGATGGAGGAAGTATAGAGATAATAAAAGTAAAGGCACAGTTGCTCACGCTTTCTTCCTAGGCTCAGATGACCCTCCAGTTGCCGAATCTGCTTCTGTAACTCAGGGCTGGCCCCATGTTTCTGCAGGGTATGGCCAAGCAGGGAGCAGGCATACTGGGCCGCCCTGGAGGAGAGGACAGACAAGGTAAGGTGGAGACCAGCCCTAAGATCCCCCCAAAAAAATGTCCTCCAAAAGGCAACCAACGGCGGACTTCCCCTTTTCCCAGGTTGAGATCATTCCCTTTCCTCCTCTTTATGTCCATAACTCACCGTTTCTGCTCCAGGCCAGGGGAAGGAAAAGGCATAAGATTAAAAAGGAGCCTGGAAGCGGGTGGGGTGCACTACTTAGAGTTGAGAAAATCAGAGATTGGACAGTGATGAGGACTGAAGGGGACCGTGAAAGCAGCGGGGTCCATCACAAGCACATCGGCGTGAGCATGTCTGTGATATGTGAGGGGGTGGGGGTGAGTTGGAGGGCAGGTTATTCTTCAGAATAGGTGAACTAAGAGATGTCAAGGCCCTGGAGCTGAAGTGAGACCAGAAGACAAGGCGGACGCCGAGGAGTTCCCGGGAGACAGCGGGGTGAGGGACACGGAAAGTTGGAGCGACTCCTCAGCTTGGGGACAGAGTCCGGGCGCAATCCACCGCGGGGCGAAGGCTCCACATTCCACCACCGCCCGGGGAGGGACGTGTTGGTCTTATGTGGACACGGCAACCCTGAGCGGCCTCCCGCTGGCCCACTCGTGCCTCAGTTTCCCCATCTTTCCCGGGAGCAGAAACGAATCATCTCCTCACGACCGGCTCAAATCGGCGTCTCGCGGTCTGTCCGGGCCCCCGTAGCCCGAGTTGACCCTTTTTGACCCCCGTAGTGTGAACTGACCTCGCCTCACGAGGGTCTCCCTTTGCCTCTTCCCTTCCCCCCCCCCCATTCCTATTGGGGCCGCACCTGCACAGCCGATCCCGGGCCTGGCTCTGAGCACTGAAGCGGACCCAGGCGTCCATGACAGCGGCTGCCCAGGCTCCGCAGCCCCGCTCCCGCCCCACTCCCCGCCCCGAGTCACGCCTCCCGGACGACCCAACGGTGCCTCGCGAGGGACAAACACCGCCAGAAAAGAAAGCAAGTGGAGACAGCCCTTGAAGCGGCATTTCAGAATAAGCGCTGGTCTCTCTGGGCCTGCGTGTTTTTGTGCTGTCTCCGTCAGCCGTCTCATCCGAGGGTCTCTATTCCCTAAGCACGCCTCCAGCCGCACATTTCTTTTTAAATAATCTGGACTAAGGGCGAGGCTTGCAGGAGTGGGGACTGGGCAAGAAGGCACCGCAGTGATCTCGCAGCGGTAGCTTAGATAGGGTTCCTTTACCCAGCCCGGGGGGGCGGGGGGGGGTGCGCGACGAGCTCTGGTCAAGTCCAGGGATCTAGGGGCTAAAGAAGCCTATGGAAGTAATGCCAGTACCAGACCCCTGCTCCCTGCAGGGCCCTGACAGCTGGACAGGTCATCTCCGAACTACAGATGGAGTCCAGAGAGAGAGGCTTTAGGAAGAATTTCGCAATAACCAGCTCCAGATCCTAACAAGGAGGGTGAAGAATCAGTGGCCCAAGCTAAGCTCTTTAAACTCACATTTCATCCTCCCCCTTCCCCTTCCAGGTCACCATGTCTACAGGCAATGTCACCCCTTGGGGGTCAGCAGCGGGCGAAGAGGCCTGGGTGGCATCAGGAGTGGAGGTGGAAGGTTCAGGGCTGCCCACCTTCTCTGCTGCAGTTAAGGTCCGAGTGGGAGTGACCATGGTGCAGTTTGTTTCCTCGACTGGAGGAAACCTGGCTGTGCTGTGGTCAGTGACACAGCTGCAATCCAACCAACTTCACCCCCCTCCAGTAGGGTGACTATTTGCCCATTTAGCAGCTGCCGATTTACTGGTACTCTTGTGGTTACGCACCTGGAATGCTGCTGTTCAATAGCTGGCCGGGGACATCGCATGTCAGACACTGATGTTCCTGAAACTAATGGCCATGTATGCTGTAGCTTGGGCTCCACCGCCAGCCAGCAATACTCCCCCCACTTGGACCTCGCTCAGCTGGAAGGAAACTTCTGGGGGCAGCCTGGAGACTTACTGTATCTCCCCATGTATAAGACGCACCCTTTTCCAAAAAATTTGGGGTCTAAAAACTGGGTGTGTTGTATACAGTGGTTGTAGATTTCAAATTCCAAGATGGAACTGAGGACGAGGCAATATATGAAGACAGTGATTCATCATCAGACACAGATGAGGACAAGCTAATGGTTGGGCATTTTGACAGTGATGAGTTGTATGAATTTTATGATGAATAAAACTTGAGTTCAATGACTTTATGTAATATGTTTTTTTTCACATTTTGGGCCCCAAAATTAAGGCGCGTCTTATACATGGGAGCATCTTATACATGGGGAAATACGGTAGTTTCCTAGCTTACTTTGCCCCAGGTTGAGTGGCTCGTCTGGACTCAGGGCTAAATTGGACAAAATTTGGGCACCCAACATGAGCCTACGGAGACAAGGGGTGTGCCTGGCAGTGGTCAGCCATTAATCCTCAGTGCAGGGGAGCATCTGATAATTCTTTTGCAAGTTAAGATCACCACATGTTAATCTGTTAAGAGCCTACCTCATAAAAGCAGTACCCTTTATCTGTGCTGCTTCCTTCAGCTTTTACACTTGCTTTCCCCTTTTTGCATCCTCCCAGTCCCACCTTCCTCAGATTGCTGCAGGATTGTTCTAGGGCAGGTAGGAAACATCTACGGGGGTATGCAAAGAAGACAGTGAAGCCAGGGGTTTGGGAAAACTTTGTGGTGCATTCATTCATGATTCAAAAAATAATATGCAGGGCCGACCGACCAAGTGGCCCGTTGGTTAGGAGTTGGCTTGGGACGCCAGCTCTGAGCAGCAGGATCCCGGTTCGGATCCCACATAAGGGCCAGTGATGCTGCGCCCTCTACAGCTAAGATGGTGAACAACAGCTCGACCTGGAGCTGGGCTGCCGTGAGTCACAGGTGAAGTCGTAGGCTGCAGTGGGGCTGGCCGGCAGTAGGCGTGAGTTTTCATGAGCTGCCATCCAATGGTCAGCGAGCGACTGCCTCACCCAGGAAGAGCGCAATGATAATACCAACACGGGCCAGTGAAGCGAAGTCCTCCACAGCTAGACTGAAGAACAAAAGGACGGCAACTTGTCTGTTCCCCTCCCCCGATTCCCCAATAAAATCTTTAAAAAAATAACAAGCATCACTCCCAGGTATATTCAAATGCTCTATAAAAGATACAGCAACAAAGTCCTGCCTTCAAGAAATTTATAGACTAGTGCAGGAGACAAATTAGTACAATACAGTGTACAGTGAAGTCTTATGCTAAAGGTAAACATAAGGAGGTAAGTAACAATGAGGGGTGTCTGAACGACTCTTGGACAGTGAAGGAAAGCTTGCCAGGGATGTTAAAATTTGATTCTTGGAAGATAGGCATTAGACAAGTTAAAGCAGAAGGAATGCTAGGGAGGGTGGAGGGCAGTGGATCTCAAGAGTGGTTGCAGCTAATATTGAGTAATGAGCCTGGAGGGGGAAGAGTCAGATCACAAATATTAAGCTTGTACTTTATCCTGAGGGCAGTGGAGTTCATGAAGTTCACTAACGTCAAAAGCAGAGAGTGACGTAATCAAATTTGTATGTTTTACTTTAGCTTTATTGTGGACTAGGTGTCAAAACTGGAAGAAAAAAAAAAAAGGGAGCATCTGAACTTGAGTGCCAGTTAATCATATCTCAGTATGAAAATGAACTAGAATCTAGAGAAAAGTTAAATATGAAGCACTTCTTTCAAAACAAAAACCACTATCATGGGGGGTGGGCAGAGCAGCATCTCTTGAGATTAGGATTATGTCTAGAAGGGGGCTAAAATTTCAAACTCTCAAAAATGAAAATGCATTATACTCGTAGAGTCAGATTTAAAATTTGATTCATAAATCCTTATATTATTAGAAACGTAACTACCAAACAGTTAGTCAGACTATAGTTCTAAGACATACATCTTCCAAAAGTATGTTGCAAACAGGACCTCTGCTACCCCAAGTTTTAAAAAGCAGCTTGTTGCCTCAAGTACAAAACGAATTAGCTATTTATATGAAGCAAATTTTAGGTGGGGGCTGGGAATTAGAAGCCTGTTTTTATTGCATTGTTTCCTTGTTTTACTTTTGATTTTTCATTCTAGGCTCTACCACTAACCAACTGTGTGACTGGCTAAATCACTGAAACCCATGGGCCACAAGATGATATAGGAAATGAATTTCATCCTTTCTTACAGCCTCAACAACCTGACAACCTAACCATTGCAATCTCCATGTGCTTCAATGGCAAACCAGCGGTAACATTATGATGCATGTGCAAAAAGTGATAGTTTTAGTTCCAAATTAGCATTCTCTTGTGTAAATTCTGCATTGCCCCTATGTTGTATTTAAAATATTAGTGTCAAAAAAATTTTTTTTAAGTGTGCTGTGTAATGAGAGATTTTTGGACTAGTTAGAAGTTAGTATTGTAGGCTCAAGTTTCCAAGTATCAAGTAGTTGAAAGGAAGGTTTCTACAGTAGGTGGTAAATTGCACATAAAACAGGGAAAAGAAGAGGCAGAAGAAGGGTTATACATCAAACTTAAGTCTAGGGCCCTGGCCTATTTCCTCACAATGCATCAAGTATTTCTAGGCATAGTGCAAAAAAACAGAGAAAGAAACAAACAAAAAAACCCCAGAAATATAAGAACTCAAGATGGGGGAAAAGCAAAGATCATTCCCCAAATGGCTCGGAGTAGCATAAACATAATTCCAAGCACTTCATAAAATCACATGTCTATGGCTGATATTTACCACCTTTCCTAAAAGTCCCTCATGCCTGCTGAAATCACTTTCCAAATGCCTTGTATCTAGGAACCTGATAGCTACAGAGCTTGACTTTTATCAAACTAAGTGACTCAACCTACTTTACCTGAACCAAGGTATTAACTCTGAAGCTAAAGCTGAAAAATACTTCACTGATTCAAACCAAAAACCTGGCAATTTACCAAAAAGGGGGAGGGGCAGCCAACAGCATTTGGAAAATGTTAAATTTTATTTACCAGTTTCACCATTATAGTTCTTGTATTGGGTTGTCGGAAAAGTCATGATGCATTTTTGCAACAAAAAACAAAAAAAATAAGTCATGACTTTTCTGACAACCTAATACATAAGCCTATTACTAAAGGTCACTTCACAGAGTGGCTGCAAAACGGCCTGAAATTTTAACAGCACCCATTTTATACATTTTTTTCCACAGAATCAATCAGACACATTAGGAAAATCACATCAGCTAAAAATGTTGGTGAGGTGTTAAAGCTATCCTTTCGTAAGTGAAACGTTTCAAATAGTACTTGAGAAGGCAGGATTCTTTAAGTCCCAGGATATAACAAACTTAAGGGTTAGCTCCACAGCCTAAGGGAAAGATAAGAGATTTTCAAGATACATTCCTAACCGTTAAATATGGCACTACGGACGAACCATAACTCAGCACTGCACTGCTCTGCAGAGATTCAAGGATGAATTAGAAGAAAGTGTGACGTGGGTGGGTAGGTTGAGAGGAGGTAGAAGGGGAGCCAGTTCTTGTAGTCCTCAACCCCACTCCAGCTGTTCCTGTTCCATACCATCAGCTGAGCTGACCCAGTCGCCTTCATTCAGTGGGTCACCAAAGGCAGCTTCAAGGTTCAATGGTGAGACCACCTATAACCTCTTCATCTTCTTCTGCCTCTTTCTGCTGCCACTGACTGCCATGACCATCTGCTACAGCCACATTGTCCTCAGTGTGTCTAGTCCCCAGACAAGGAAGGGGAACCATGGTGAGACTCCAATCCCCAGGCCCTAATCTGTACCCTAAATCTATTGCCTCTAGCCTCATTTATGATAGCTATTTATCAAATCCAAGTGAGATCCTAACCATACTTCCAGTACCTGATGCTACACATAATTTTATTGAATGCTTTCAATTCCAACCAGCCTCTAGCCATCCTCTGAACTGTAGTTGCTCAAGGGTTAAGTAGGTAGTCTCCTTTACTTTTGGGACACCATCCAGTCTTAAAGTAAATTTAGTAGCTTCATATAACACACCACCTCAATCAAAACTTTTCTCCAGTATGTCTGTCATAATCCCTGGGGGGAAGGGAACACATAGTCCCAATCTGGGAAGGGGAAGAGGGTTTGCAGCATTCTCTTCTTTGTAGGGGAAGAGCTCCCTCTCATTGTCTCTGCCCATCCATTAATTCATCCTATACGTAGGTCAGAAGCTGAGTGGTTCTGAATTTCAGTATCTTTTCTAAATTCCCAGGCACTGCCAGTGAATATGTCCTCTGCTGCTCCTTAGACAATTGTCCCGTGTTCATCTGCGGGCTCTGTGCCTGGCCCTGCTGGCTTGCTGACCTTCAGCCTCTGCTGTATCTTATTACCTGCTGGGTCTCTGGTATACTGGTTCTCTCCTGCCATGCTGACTGAAGTCCCTCCCAGCCTTAGCCACGTCCTTTTCCTCTTTGGCCTCCTGAGTGCTCCTCTGGATCCTGTCCTCCATGCGGCATTCACACTTGGATGCTGAAGAGGGCACCAAGAACTTAGTATAGACTCCTCCAGGGAAAGAGGGTGTGGGAGAATTCCCCGACAGGACATTCAAACACTGAGGCAGATGGAAGTACAAACAAACGTGGCAGCAAGGGCGGGAGAAACAAAAGAAACATTCCTATAACATCCATTTGCTCAGGACAGAGTATACAGGAACAGAATAATTATTCTTTACTATCATTAGAACCTCCCTTCTCTCCCTATTCTTACTTCCAAGGGAAAGAAATACTAAGCAGTGTCTCTACCTTGACCCTTTGAGACTTGAGACTATGTCTAATGTAGAAATTCACACAGAATCCAGTCACTGGGAGAAGTATCTTCACAGTGACCCATACTGCCTTGTTAGAAATAGCACTTCAGAGCTTGCAATGTTAGAACAGGAAAGTAACTTTAAATGTAGAAAACAAAAATGGGACATTTATTCGTAACTCAAAAGAAATACTAAGAAATGGGGTAAGAGATTAAATACAAACAGCGAGCTCCACCCCAGCCCTCTGTTTCCAAGGCTGGAATCTCCGGAGAGAACACCTGGACAACAGGGGACTTGTCAGCGACGCCTCCGGTCTGGACTCCTGCTGCGCCTTCGGCCACCTCTAGGGAAAATGAAGCAGGGGAGGTCCATCAGCGGGACAAAATACAACGTCCTTATTCTTTCACTCATATTCCCTTCACCAAGACAGTGTTTTCCCTCTCCACTTTACCTCCTTTTGCTCTTTGGTGGACCCCGAACAAAACACCAGTCCACGCTGATTGGCTGTCCCATCAAATCCTGGCCATTGAGTCCCTCCATAGCAGCCTGGGCCTCCTTGTACGTTTCATATTCAACTAGAGTATACCCCTAGGGCAAGTGAAAAGACAGGTTATCAAAACCCTTCTATTCCACCAAGCTATTTTCTACTCAAGTAGGACAACCTATATGTATAGACTTTAAATAATGAATATACATCACATAGAGTGT